TTTCCGCGGATGGCACGCGGTCAACCCAGAGCTGCGCGCTTTGCTTGGGCCGCGCGCAGCCAAATTGAGCGGACCCGCCAGGCGTGGTCCCATGCTCGCGCCGAGAACACGCCGCAAATGTGCTTGCCCTCGAGATTGCTGCCGAAGATGCAAAGGGCAGAGGCAATCGACAACAATTCGAGCGACGTGATATGCCCGCCCCCGCGCGGGCGAATATGCCGCAGGAAGCGCTGGGGCGTATCCATGTCGCCGCGCAGCAACGAATAGCCACGCGGGGGCAGCCAGTGCCCGCGCGAAACCGCGCTCCTGCGCCAGGTTGAGGCGCAACACGTCCTCCGAAGCTGGCTCACATGCTTGAGCTCTGAAATCGGACACTTCTTTTCTTACACATGACCAGCTCCCTTACATGATCTGAATATTATTATAGCTACAACGGGGTCATGTGCAGAGGATCTAAAAGATCGGTATGCTACTCGAGCCATGGCCAAATAACAATTTGCACTCTGCAACTTTTGGGGCGAATATTTAATTTGTCGAATTGTAATGTAAAGTCAGTTCTGCCAAATGTTTAAATATTGAGACAGCAGCTAGCGACGTCAGAATTTACTAGCGGAAGCTAAACAAGCTACTCTAGGTACGAAGAATCTGCACTACAGAAGCGTATGTTCGAATTTCTCATGAGTGTCAGGAGACTGGAATTTGTTCAAAAATATGCTATTCGTCGGGTCCGTTCGTGGAAGTGAATCGATTGAAATGCAGATACAGCCCTGAGATTCTACCAGCAAGCACAGCGCGATCCAATGCTCCGCTCAGAAGTCTTGGATTTCAAAATCAATTGTCGAATCTCTCACGATCTCCGAAAAAACGAACCGAGGTCACCACAGGCTGAGTTCTGTCCCAAACGGCCAACTAGCCCCACCCTGCCGCCAAATTCCTCTAGCTCTAATCGAACCAAGAGTTCTACGAGGTACACGAGCTAACAATTGGGGGAGCTGGAACAGTCACTTGGCTGCTGTGGATGCGACGACTACATTCGGTGATGTCACGGTGGAGGGGGCAATCTAGCGCACGATCTCCTCGGCCGCGAAGCCTAAAAAAAAATCAGCGCGGCTCCGCCTCCCCGGCTCAGGATCTTAGGATTCAGCTCCGGGCCGGGCTCGGGGCTCCAGGCCCGGACCCTGGGCTTCAGGGCCCGGCTCCGGCTCCGTGCTCAAACTGAAAGCCGGCGGTAAACCGTCAGCCTTTGGTCCGCGCGTCTGCGGTCGGTCGGTTCGAGCCTCCACGGAGGAAGACCTACTAACAGTAGCAACTCAGAATCTAATCCGAGAAGCAAGCTCAGAGATACCCCTAAGAAGACTTTCCGCAGATGATAACTCAGCCTGCGTGATTGTACAATGAGACGGGATCATAGAGCTCCCTTGCCACATGTATTAGCTCCCCTACAGCTCGAGCTATATCCCAAAAACCTTCGAAAAGTTACAGAGTGCGATTAGATGTTCGGTCGCATCTCGGGTGCAGACTGATTTCAAGCGTCTCGACACTTCAGAATAAGCTCTTCATGATGGCCTGCCGAATGGTGAGCACTTAAGCTCCGTAGCTAGCCTACAGCTCGATCAATCTCCCAAAAAAACGATCAGGGAGTTACAAAGTGCGAATAGTTTTTCGGTCGCAGCTCGGGTAGGGGACTGATTTCAGGCTTCTCGATACTTCAGAATAGAGTTTCTGATGATTTCCTGTCCAGTGGTGTGTAGTTCAACTCCAAGCCTGGCCTACAGCTCGGGCTCTCCCAAAAACCATCAGGCCGACCCAGAAATCTCAAAAATAGCGAATCCCGCCACTATGCTTTTTTGTAATAATATCCACCCGAGTGACCTGACAGGAAGACGGCGAGCGGGCATAAGATCATAGAGCTGGGCAAAGAAAAAAAAAGATCTCAAAGGCATTGCGGAATCTCAAGAACATAATTTCCGACGGAAGCCACTTCGTCAAAACTGGAAGACGGAGGTAAACCGTCAACCCTGGTTACCGCGGGGGATTGGAAAAAAAAAAAGCATCCTTGCCAGACATGTGTATATATATATATATATATATATATATGCATTGCATGCGGGCGTGGCAATCTCGCATTCAGCGCGCGCGAGGACGCGCGGTGTCTTTGAAATGCGCTGGACAGCTCCTTAGCTCGCCCACAGCTCGAGTTCAGTTGAGACACCCGCCTACGCAAGAAAGTACACGACTCAAATTGAACAGATGTTGGAAAAAAATCTGCCACTCTTACGAAGCTCTCGCCACGTGTATATATCGAATGATGTGCTCGACAGCTTGGGAGCCATTTGCAGAATACAAATAATTGTTCGGTCGCAGCTCTGGTGACAAACCGATCTCAGGCGCCTCGATACTCCAGACTAGCGCTCCTGATTTCTCCGTTCGAATGGCATGCTTTCCATCTCCGTAGCTTACCTACAGCTCGAATAAAGTAGAGAAAGCCAACATCGTCTCTCGTGTAAATAGTTTGTCGGCCGCAGCCCTGGTACCAGACCGATCTGAGGTGTCTAGATACTTTAGAGTTGCGCCCCTGATCATGTCTGTCGATCGGTGTGCCTCGCAGCTCCGTCGCTCGCCTACAGCGCGAATTATATAGAGAAAACCAACATCGCCTCGCAAAAAATTGCAGCGTGCTACACTTGTTTAGTCGCAGCTCTGGTTGCAGACCGACCTCAGACGTCTCGATACTGTAGACCAACGCTCCCGACCATTTCCTGTCGGAAGGCGTGCATCTCAGCACCGTAGCTCGCCTGCAGCTCTAGTGGATGCAAAGAAACCAGCAGCGTCTCTCAAAAGGTTGCAGCATGCGAACAGTTGTTCGGTCGCAGCTCTGTTGGCAGACTGCTATCTCCCGGGAACCCCTCCCCCCCCCAAAAAAAAGGGCAGGACGACCAAAACAAATGCATATCCCGCGGACATATTATTTGGAAGCAATAGCCACCCGATTGGCCTGATATCACGATGGCGAGCGGGAATAAGATCATACAGCTGGGCAACAAAAATACTAGATCCAAACGAGTGTTGAATGTTGAGAACATACGTTTAAAACCGAGGGCTATTCGGCAAAACTTCCGTCGAGTTTTTTCGAGCCAACTAGCCCGCTGGCGATGTGGAATTACTCTAGAGCTTAGCCGCTTCGCCTATGGGGAAGCTCTACGAGCCACTTCCGTCAGGATTTTTCGGGGCAACTAGCCCGCTGGCGCTCTGGAATTATTCTAGAGCTTAGCCGCTTCACTTATGGGGAAGCTCTACGAGTCATTGCTGTCTGATGCGTTTCCGCACTCAAGTTGCTATTTGCAGCGCACCCGTGCTGGAAATGATGTTTGCAGCACTTCCGTGGTCGAACTGCTTGCAAGTGCTCACATTGCTGCTGGCAGCGTCTCTGCATTCAAATTGCTGCCCGGAGACAGCGAATACGCAGTCGGCGGCAGGAACGAAGCTGAAACAGCCAGTGCAGACGCAGAAACCAACTGGAAGCCAGCGGTAAACCGTCAACCTTGGATACCGCTGGGGACTCAGAGCTTCCTTGTCATATAGATACATACATAGATATATACACATGTGATACATATACATATACAAATACAAATACAAATACAAATACATATACATATACATCTACTTATACAGATATACATATATATATACATGCATATATATATATACATGTATACATATATACATACATACACATACAAGGCATGCGAACAGGGCAATCTCAATTCAGCGCGCGAGGATGTGCGGCTTCATGGAATTGCATGACAGCTCCGAAGCTTGCCCACTGCTCGACTGCAGTAGCACCCACGCAAGAAAGTACACGACTCAGTTGAACAAGGTTTGCCTAGCTGTCAATCTTAAGAAGCTTCCGCCACTTGTACAGCATCGAATGATGCGTTTGACAGACTGATAGGTGTTTGCACAGTTGCAAAAAGCTGGCCTACAGCTCGAGTTAAGCAGCTGGTACTCCGCAGCTTGCCTACAGCCCGAGTTGGGTATCGCCTCTAAAACATTTCAAGAGTGCAGATAGTTTGTCGGTTGCAGCTCTGGCAGTAGAAGTGTTAAGATACTTCAAACAAGCGCTTCTGATCATGAATTGTCGATCCGTGTGCCTTTCAGCTCATTAGCTCGCGCTCAGCTATAGCTGAAATCCAGGAAACTAAAATTGTCGATCGGAAATTTGTAGTGTGCGCGCACGCTTGGGTCCATGCGATAGCTTTCTATAGCTTGAGCTAGAGACCGATCCCTAAGGCGAAATACGTCATTCGACAGAAAAAAAACTAAGGAGGTATTGCTTCGAGCATCGATATGTCTGAATGTCTACTACGAAAGCTGCGACCGAGAAACTATTTGCACGCTGTGCCTCTTTCACATTTGGGTCTCTGCCCATACCGAGCTGTTGGCGCGCTACGGAGCTCAGCGGCACAACAATCGACAGGACATAGTCAGGAGCTCGAGTCTGGACCATGAGGACGCCCTGAAAGTGAACATGTTACCAGAGCTCACACACTAATAACAGCCGTTTGATAAGAGCTCGCTGAGCAACAAGTTCGTTACTTGAACTAGAGCTGCCAAGGATTGGATAACGAACGATGGTTATGGCCTGTAGCTCCAGCTCTCTTCCTGGAAACTATGAGAATGACCAACAAAAGAACAGAAAATCGCGTCACAATGTTTGTTTCTTGAGCTATCCACCCGATTGGCATGGGATCAAGATGGCGAGCAACAATCAGACCAAAGGGCAAGAAAACAAAAACTGCATCTCAAACGAATAGCTCGATAGAGAACATCATTGTAAATCGATGATTTGTCCAGACCTCCGTCGAGATTTTGAGGCCGCTCGTTGCGGGGGGTTATAGCGCTTCCTTATAGACAGAACGAGAAACATGCAAACGTGGCAAGTTTGCATTCAGCCCGCATGAGGATGTGCGGTTTGCGTCGCGATACAGACGAGCCTTTCTCACCTCTCCGTCATTTCCGATTGAACACCACAGCGTGTCGTCAGCCCGAATTCAGGAGATAACCATCGAATTTCAACATCTGAAGAGTAGTTTGTTCTGGCAGCTGTTCGCTACAAAACAAAAGCTTCTACACACTTGAACTATGTCTAGCACTTCTTATCGATTGGTGTGTCTGGCGCGCCTACAGCGCGAGATAAGTGGCAGAAAAAGATATAGTCTCGAATAAAATTGCGGAGTGCGAACGAACTTGGATTGTCCAAAACCCAGATAACTGCAAGCTGGCGGCAAACCGTCAACCATGGTTTTTTGCTTTGCGCAGAGCCACAGGCCTGAGTTCAGGCCCGCTCGAGTCACAGCCTAACGCAGATGGGGCGAAACAGGCCAAGCGCCTGAAAGACCGCCGCCACACCTTTCAGGAGGTGCTTTGCAGCAAAAGGTCAGCCTGGGTCACTGTGCACGAGGGCGGAAGACGAAAGGCTTCTGAGGCAACACTGCACCACCAGAAACCGTCCGGAGAAGCGGAGCCATCCAGATGACTAAGATGAAAAGGAAGCGTTGGAAGAATGCACAGATCGAGAACCGAGCCGCCGCCGCAACCTTCAGAGGAACGGCCCCCATCAAAGAAGCCACTCACTCCGAGAACGTTCGAAGCATTCATTGTTGATAATGTAGCTGGGGTTGCCCACACTGCCCCGAAACCAGCACCACCGACGTCGCGCCAGTGAGCAGGCAGGCAATGGCATGAGACTAAAATCAACCTACGAGCGCACACATACCTGTGCAAGACAACACTGCAAAATGTCTCCCATGAGCCCTGCAAGCGGGGAGCGAAGGAAAGCCAGCGGGAGAGCGGGGGAGCCCAAAGAGACAAAGCGAGCCCAGGGGCGAAAGCAGCACGGGGGAGAGAGGAGCGAGGTGGCGTTGATTTCCGGCTTTGATCTGCAGATGGTGGCGTTGATTTCCGGCTTTGATCTTCGCTCTCTCCGTTCCCATCGAAGCAGTTGACACACTCTGTAGCCGCACTCATACAACTGTGGGGCAACACCGTGCGACCTGACGCCGTACACGCAGGATCCATCACAGACCACAAGGCACGAAGTCAAGCTACAACGCGGAGTGCCACACCGGCCCCACGATATCCAAGAGAGCTTGAACAAGTACGGAGGCCTTACGCCGATGGGCAATATCGATTCGCTCCTCAGTGGAAATGCAACGTAGGCAGTGGCACATGTCAGGGAAGTGACCATACACCAGGGGTTCCGCCCAGGCTTGCACGAAAGCATCCCGCTCCTCGTGGGGGCACTGATGCCAAGCACCTAAGAAGTCAACAACCCAAATTCTCTGTGCATTCACGGACTCCTCATCACTCGATTCGTCATCGCCTTCTTTCGGAAACATGCCCAAGTATGTACGCAGCACGCCTGAGTCCACATACGGCCGCGGCAGGAGAGAATGAACCACATGATCCGCCGTGGATGCAAGCACTGGCGGGGTCTCCGCAACAGGCACCTCTCGTCGGAAACAAGACCGTTTGATACGCACGGCTCGGGGGCCAATCGCAAGAGCAGGAGGATGGACCGAGCAACTCGCATCCGAAGCGGGCACAGCGGGAACGGCATCAGGGGTGGGATCGGCACCGCTCACTCTAGCACCTTCTGCCTCCACGGCAGCACCATTCTCATACACATTGGGAGAAGACGGTGAATGCATCGTAGCGCCCATTGTCGCAAGATTGACTGAGGCGCTCGCATCCGACACTAAGGCATCGGGAACGCCGTCAGGTACAGGCTCAACAAAAGTCACTCGAGCATCCTCCACCTCCACAGCAACACCACTCGCAGACATTTTCGGAAAATGATGAGAAGTCGTCGTAACGCCCGTTGCCGCTAGCTGGACCGAGGCACTCGCATCCGAAACTGATACATCGGGAACGGCATCAGGGACGGGATCAACACTAGCCACTCGAGCATCCTCCACCACGGCAATATCACTCTCAAGCACATTCTGAAAATGATGGGAAATAGTCGTGACGCCCGCTGTCGCTGCAGGAGAAACATACATCGGGGAGGAAGGCCCCACACCTGGTGTCGAAGAAGCTCGCACGCCTGTCCACGGAGCCGTACCAGCAGGGCCGCGGTTACGAGAGTAACGAAGTGCGACGACATCGGCACGACAGAGGCCAGTGAAATCCCCCACCTGACACGACGAAGACGTGGAACACAACCAGAGACGGTGCTTCACCTGTCTAGCACGTGAACGACGCCGTTGCGAGGGCGACGCTTTCGTGACGGGCCTCCCCATCTGCTCACATGCCAAGGTCCCAGCACGAGCATACAAGTCATTCACACATACTTCGAGCACAGACAAACGTGAAGAGACATAAACAAATGCCATGCAACCCATGCGCTCTGAAACAAAATCAGAAGTCATAAAATCGGAAACAAAATCCATAGGATTCATACTCATTGCGGACCAGCACAACAACGAGGCAAGTCACAGCAGAAGACGTCTCCGCAAGATGTGGCAGCAGCTCCACTGTAAACTGGGCCCGATCCAGCAACCGTACCACACAAGCACACACAAGCACCTGTTGACCTGGAAGAGCCAGCCGGTGTCAGAACTCGCATAGCTTCCTGACGGAGATGTCGTGGGACTCGCCCGAGCAGCGGCCGCTATCGCGAGGGGTACCGAGGCCCGAGGAGGAGGAAGAAAGACGGGCGGCCGAGGGCGGGGGAGCGCGGCGGGGGGGGGCCACCAAGGAGTTCCGAGCCAGGGGACTCGCAGAGCTTCTTTGCCATGTATATATATATATATATATGTATATATGTGTGCGAGGCATGCGAGCGCGCCAATCTCGCATTCTGCGCGCGCGAGGGCGCGCGCTTGCAAGAAAAAATACGCTCGACAGCCCCTTAACTTGTCCACAGCTCGAGTTCACTTGAGACAGACAGCCACGCAAGAAATAGCTGTTGGCAGAGCACAAATTGTGCTTCGGTCGCAGTTCTGGCAGCAGACCGATCTCAGACGCCTCAATACTCCACAGACTAGTGCTCCTGATCTTTTCCATTCGGAGGGCGTGCTTCCCAGCTCCGCGACTAGCGCTTATAGAAAAGCTGTCGGGTGGTGAATAGCTCAAGTTAAGTCAAGAAAACGAACATCGTCTTTATATATTTATATGAATTAATTAATGAAATATTTAAAACAAACAACAACAACAACAACAACAACAACAACAACAACAACAACAACAACAACAACAACAACAACAATTACTAGCACGTGGGGACACTCCGTTCTCACCAGTGCCAGGGTTTTCATAGGAGGCGGGCAATACCCCCACTTTGTGGGGGGGCCGGTTCAAGCTCTACCAAATTTCCAAACGACTCTTCGCCACCACCCACACCCAGCTTCCCGCCCTATGACGTTCGGACACTTCACTTCGTGGCATGCGGACGACCGTGGCTACTATTCAGGGCCCCGCGGCCGACGACGACGGCGTGCGCGCGCGAAGAAAAAACGAATGTGTCCCGCATGGTATTATTTGACAGGGATGATGGCCCTGGCAGGTGCGCAACCGTTGTCGCAGAAGTTCGAAAAAGTTGCTCGCAAAAGCCCGTTTGACAGAAATGTTTAAAAAGTGTTGGGTTTCCTACGAATCCGCAAGAGCGCGCGGGATGAGATTTTGACATTTTTTTGTTGAAAAACCATTGGTTTTTTGATGTTTTTATGTTAAAATCGCTCCGAACACTAAGCTTTTGGAAGGATTTCGTCTTGCGCGCGCGAATGTCCACTTTACCTTATTTTTTGCAAGGGATTCTTGAAATTTGATTATATTAGAACAAGAAATGTCATTTTATAGTGTTTTTTGCAAGGGAAAACGGATTACAACAAAACAACCGGATCTTGATGACATCGTATTACCTGAGGCTTCCTCACGAAAATAATGAAAATGTAGCTGCGGCCTAGGCGGCGCAGGGGGGCCGTGCACCAGGGGCCCCAACAATAATGATTCTTTAGAATTAATAATGTTCAAAAACAAAAAAAGTGCTACAATCGGAGCTCTGGTAGCAGACCCATCTCAGACGATACTACAGGCAAATATTCCTGATCATGTCCTGTTGACTTGTGTGCTTTCCAGCTCCGTAGCTTGCCTACAAGAGTCCAAATAGTTGTGCACTCACAGATCTGGTAGCAGATCGATCTCAGGCGTCTAGATACTTCAGACAGGCACTCCCCAGCGTTCCCTGTCGGTTGGCGTGCATCTCTCCGTAGCTAGCCTACAGCTCGAACTAAGTAGAGAAAACACACATCATCTCTCAAAAAATAGAGTCTGAATAGTTTTCCAATCGCACCTCTGGTAGCATACCGATCTCAGACGTCTCCATACCGGAGGCAAATGTTTCCGATTATTTCCTGTTGAACGGTGTGCGCCCCAGCTCCGTAGCTCGCCTACAGCTTGAGTTAAGAAGAGAAAACGAACATTGACTTTCAAAAGTAATGCATCATACAAATCGTTTTGAACTCCCAGCTCTGATAGCAGACCGGTCTCAGGCATCTAAATACGCTAGACTAGCGCGTCTACAGTTAAGAAAACCGTCAGTACCTGCCAAGATGGAACTTAACACCCGATCGCGCCCCGATGCTTTTTGGCGGTAATATCCACCCGATCGACCTGAGATCAAGATGGCAAGGGGGCATAAGATCAAAACAAGGGGAAAGAAATACTAGATCTCTGACGAATGGTTGAACTCCGAGAAATTATTTTCAAACCGACCAAAATACTGCGAGACTTCCGTCGAGATTTTTGGAGCCCACTAGCCCGCCAGCGCGTTCGAACTGGAACTCCGAAGAATTTTTCTCAGGCCGAATGATTGAAGGTTCGAGAGCCAGCATGCTTTATTGTAGTGCTGGATCCTTGGAATTACGGAATGATTTGACAGGTCGGCCACTGCCTCGCAACTGCAAATTCTGACGGAAAGTTTCAAATTCAATAATGAATCGAATTGTCAAGCCATTTTTCACCTTCACAGCGATTTCACGAGTCTTAGGTAGAGCTGCTCTTGACATGTTTTTAAACGAGTTCTCGCATCCCCGGATTCGCATTGTGCCAGGAGCACGATTTCCTTCGTCTTTGGGTTCTATTTGCGAGAGATTTTTTCAGCGACCATATTCGCTGACAGGACGTTCTGATTCATCAGAATCTTCCAAAAAACGAGCCCGTCACCACATTGTCCGCCCGGGCCGGGTGGGCCAACTAGCTCCACCCCGCGCCGGAACTGGGAACCGGCGGTAAACCGTCAATCAGGTTTTTGCAGACTTTGCGGTCGACTGCGCAGGCTTTCCAGCCTAGTCGGAGCAAGGGGCGGGCGTATCGGGAGCAGGCGGAGCCTCGCCGATCCAAACGATCAGGAAGGCAGAAGCCTAAGCTCTTATGAGGGAGTGAAGTCAAGCACGCACGCACTACACACACAGAAGCATGGCATGAGTGAGCAAAACTCACGTATTCACATCATCTCAAATCCGAAATACGCATGTACAACCCGCGGCAAGATAGCAATCGCATGCTCAACGGCCGAGATCTCGGCATCTGTCACCGTCGAAGTTGGGTCAATCGAGAAAGCCGCACTATACACCTATGTCCACATGATATCATGGCTGAATGGTTGCCTTGAGAGTCTCGGCACACGTCCAACATCAATCGAGAACCCGACTCCCACGCCGTCGCAAGAGACGCCACCATCGAATCCAGCTCTGATGGCACACACGCGAAACACCTGATCTAACTGTGGGGCGTAGGGCCCTATCCTGTCCCGATAGCACTGGTGTCCCACCGCGGGCCGCGTGAGTGAGTACATCTGCACGCATGTTCCATTCCCTGTATGTGTACAATTTCCCTCCCATGGGAGGCTGGTCTGATACCGAATTTATAACACATGTTATCCAGTTGGTTTATCATTCTGTTTATCCTATCCTGATAGGTACGATTGAGCACCCTCCAGACACCCTGAAGCGAAGACACCACCAGCAGACTGTCCCCAGAGATGTACACCGGGATCCCAAACGAGTCGAGGTCGCACACAACCTCCTTCATATTTTGCAGCGCAATACGTTTGGCCAGTTTGTCGTTGAAAGCTGGAGTCCCCTCGTGCGCCCCACATGTGTGTAGGTCGTTTTGTGGAATAATATGCACATCCTGCAGTGCCCCACCTGGTGGACCGTGCCCTTTTCTTTTCTGAAAGTGACTCAACATATTCCGTGTACACATATGATCGCAGAACTGCATGTAACCTGAGCCCGTCGGCACAGAGGACTCCCACCATTTTAGTCCGTAGAATTCCCAGAAAGGAAATACCCAGCATCTCTGACCAACAGATTTGCCTGAACTCGCGCGTCGCCTCTTGAGCTGCGAGGCCTCCTGGAAGCGAAATATCTCCCGCAGGAACTCAGAAGCATCCGTCCTGAGTCTGTCCCACAGTGGGCCGTATGCAACCGCAATCACGTGGCGGTCTCGCCAGGTACGCTGCGTCGAAGAAAGACCCTCATGAACATCAGCCTGCAAGATAGAGATAAAATTGGCAGCATCCTTGGCGGAGTTCCACACCGCACGCAGAAAGCGCTGCACCAACGTCGCAAATCCGTAGGATCGAAACTGTTCTCTGGCCTCACGGTACCGTCGTCGGTTCCAGTCCGCCATCGTCTCCCCGCCCCTCCTTGGCCGTCGGAACATACGGCGCAAACACCAACCCTCGAAGGCATTTAGCATGTGTAAAGAGGAGGTAAACGCAGTACATGTCTCAAGACAATATAGAGTCATACTCTGCACCTTATCCTGATAACGACAAGATTTATCGCGAACACCAACCGCTCTGTTACACAAGAAATCCGCCTCTCCGATGAAACAAGCACGTGCCTCCTTGATACGGCACTCTACATCAGGATGCGCAGGCAGTAGGTACGTAGAATATATCTCATGACCCAATACTTTCATTATACACACACGTCGCAGACTGAAGCTCTGAAACCCAGAGCATGCAGGGTAAGTAAATCCTCGCTAGCAGGTATATGTCCATCTCCGTCCGCTCTCGCAATTTCCCCGCATGTCATATACAGCAGGCTGCTATCCTTCCACCTCATCCCCCAATCGTGTAGTGGTAGGGTTAGATCGTGAATCATCTGAGCCAGCATGGTTGAGGAGGCCGACACAAGATAGCAATTGTCCGCCCACACAAAGTGGTTCACAACTGTCCGTCGCTCGTACTCTCCACAGACACCCTCCAGCACATACCCCACGCCCCGACTGTCCCACTCACGAAATATTGGTCCCCACTTGGCACATATGATGAGATTGAATAGAAGAGGCCCCTCAGGGCCGCCCGTCCTGATACAGACGTCCCAGTTGATATCATGCATGGCCATACCCTCGACAACTAACGACCCCATAGTGCAAACCAGTGGCGCAAGCAACGCATACTGAAGATAAGCAGGAATATTTGCAGACACGTAGCTCTCTTAGCATTTTGAAGAATGCAGTGGCCAAACGCTTGTTTAATATCGGCATTTGCAATATGAACCCTTTGAGCCTTTCCACAGATGTCCCCATGTTGAGCAAGACCCTTGAGGGCCCCCACAATTTCCACCGTCTTACGTCCCTCCTGGAAGCCATAGATGCCCAGAGGTCCCATGAGCCCAGCCCGAGAGACAAATTGTTCGACCAAGATCACCACACAAGCAGAGCACCAGCGGCTTAGACTGTTTTGCAGACAGAGGTACCGTGCATCT